AGTGGATGATGAGTAAATTCTGAGTGAATTTTCATTTTTGGGTGAACTCTCCCTTTAATGACTAATATGACCCCAGCAAGTACTCTGCATCTGACATCGTGCATATTACACCATAAGGAAGCCTGGTAGAATATCTTGTCCGGTGCTCATTACTCAGTTTATGTGGGCTTATTGACATAACAGCCCACGCTGCTTTGAGGAGCTTTCAGAAGTGGAGAAAACAAAGTTTGTAACACACTAAAGCAAAACACTAATAAAGAACATAAGGGCATCAATGAAAAAATTACATGTTTTGGATTCAACGCTACAACATAATTATCAAAAAAAAAAGGTCAAATTTGTTATATGTTAGAAACTAAATTTAAGTTGACTGTAAAGACAAAAATAACATCCAGCAGATTTCATCCACGTGATTTATCCTGTATTAAGCTCTGTGCTGCTTATGAACTAATAAGCTTACTTAGAGTTTGAATCCGAATTTTAAACTGTGTTGACAACACACACACAAAAAAGTTATTAAACTAGAGGAAAGTTCAAACTTACTTAAAAAATGCTTGGTAAACCATTTTAACAATGAAAGGCGCAATATGACATAACCTTAAGATTCAAACATTAATCAGCCTAGGAAATTTCCTTTTAAGCAAAATGACATGTGAAGAAAAACACTGAATTTAAACTGCAATCATCTGTCTTTTAAGGTAATGATTTTTGTGCATCAGAGAAGAAAACATGCAGAGAAAATCTGATAACTAATAGTGCAAAGATCACAAATACAGTCATTGATCAATGACAAAACATCCCATATTGATGTCCAAATCAAATCAAAGGTGCAACAATGTATGAATTATATATAGCAATATATAGCATATTAAACGTAAGTGGTCTGCTTTATTGGTTTTATGTGAAATAATATTTAGTCTAGGGCTGCGTGATTTGGCCTAAAATCAAAATCTCGATTAATTGAACATTTTGACTCGATTTCAATTAATGATCAATTATTTTATTTATGATTTTGCCCTCATAGTTCAATGACAAGTTTCAAACAGTAAATATGCTCACATATTACAAATGAGACTTTTGAATGAAGGTGCATTACTTGATTTTAAAATACTTGAAGGAAGCACACACTATCTACTATGTATGATTATTTATTAATTGTCAATACTGAACAACTAAAAAACTGACCAATCACAAAGCTTGCACTTGTTGTGATGTGCAAGCTCATTGTCTGAGAGGTGCGCAGGTATGCTAAGGCTGCGTTGGACTGTATACTTGCCCTTGGCAGAAGTAGAATATTATAATAATATAATAAATATAAATCATAATATAATAAGCATATTTCAGCCTTAACAGAGCGGGGTCACGAGACTCCACACACTGTAGGGAAAGTAACTGAAAAAAATGACCTGGAAAAATTAGGTCGATTATAGATTCTGAATGTCAATTTCGATTACTCTTCAATTAATTGCCCAGCCCTAATTTACTCATCAACAAATTAGAAACGTACTATCGAAGACAAAATTATTAGCATTCCTGTGAAATTGTAATTCTTTTTTAATATATTTAATAAATCAGGGAAATTTTCACAGTATTTCCTATAATAGGCTTTCTTCCGAGGAAAGCTGTATTTATTTTAGTTTGGCTAAAAAACAAGCAGTTTTTAATACTAATAAAAAATATGGGTCAGTATTATTAGCCCTCTTAAGAAATTATTATTTTACACTTTAAGCTGACAGCTAGTATCTTGCTAAATAAATAGAAGAATATTATATTGTGGCAAATACAATAGTTACAATGCTCAGCATAATGGAGTACACCCTATTTTAAAAAATTTTATTTTTATCCATTTGTCAGTGACTACAGTCAATGTATTTTGGTGCATTTAAACAAAACAGATTTATTAAACTATATTTATTCAAATAATATTTTAGTCATCCAACATATTCAGAAATTGAAAGATAATACAATTAAATTCAAGCAAATTTTTGCAAAAAACATAACAACTTACAAAATATCAACAAAATTTTCAATTGTTATGCTTGCCTTGATTTTTCCTCTTTTTAAATTTATATTTAATATTTTTCTATAACATATAAATTTGAGTGTACTAGTTTTTGGACCATTATTGTAAGTTTTTTTTTTAGATAAGCTCCAGATTTGGCTTCTTTAATCTAATGTATATGCACAAACATAATATTGTATAGCTTCCAATCAAAAATATGAATTTAAATGATAGATTTGTGAGGGGTGTGCTTATATATGCTGAGAACTGCATTAGAAGTTAGTTATTAAAAATATTAAAACCATATATACACACACACATTTAAGATGTTTAAAAATATTCTTGATAAATATTTGAAAAATAATTATAAAAAGCTAATAATTCTGCCTTCAACTGTAACTGATCATACTACATTTTGTTTTATTTTTGATTAATCCCAAATTGTTTTGCTGACAATAAAGAAAAATCCATCTTGTACTTTATACTTTATCAATAAATATTCTTGTTTTAAATGTGCCTAACAAGTGTTAAGTACATGCATTGTTACAATGAATGACTAAAAAACAAAACACATTCTAACGTATGGAAAAAAAAAGCTGCATTACACTGCATTTCCTTTTTGACCTCATCCATTCATCAAAGGGTGAGTTGAGATATCGGCTGACTATATCATTGTATGACACAATGACAAGCTAAATGCTATCTTTAGTTCAGTTCATTCTTATTTTAATTACATTCTTTCTTATCAACACTGCATCATGGTCATAAGACTAGAACCCATCCTAAAAATACTGCAATTTCACTGACTAGCCTGTTGACTAGAGATAAAGTGATCCATTACACATCTCTGCACTGATACAATTAATGCTAAAAAAAAAAAAATCAGCGGATGCTAAGGGAGAGTTCACCCAAAAATGGAAATTCTGTCATCATTTTTCTCAACCTCATCTTGTTTCAAACATGTTTGACTCACTGACCTCCAGGGTGTAAAGTAACAAATTACAGATACTCAAATTACAGTAATTGAGTATTTTTTCTCAGGAATTGTAATTTACTAAGTAGTTTTAATAATGTGTACTTTTACTTTTCCTTTGAGTACATTTTAGTGCTGTATTGGTACTTTTACTCCACTACTTTCCTTCAACCTGCAGACACTACTTTATTTTTTCATCGTCTATGGGGACTAGGAAAATCAGTCCTGTGATTCCTGTCCAATTAAATCGCACATTGAAAGTAAATCGCATCATAATGAACTACCCCAAGACATGGGCAATTTATAATTGCAGCAAACTGTTTGGAAGCATTAAAAGTTTCCTAAAAAATATCCAAAATCTTTACACGCATAGACCCAGAGAATGTTTAGATGCATGTCACTGATGAGAAGATGATGGAGGTTTACTGTACGATGACCGAAATGGCCTTAAACACCCAATAGGCACAAGAGGTCAACATGACGTCAGATTGATGTTGTACCCCAACATCGTGAGGAAATTGCATTTGGCTTAGAAATGAAAATGAGGTTGACGTTAGAACTCAACGTCAGGCCGTTGTCAACGTCTAATGATGTTACAGCTTGACGTTGTGTGAATGTTATCACTATCAGATGTTAGATTTTGGTTGCCATGCCTAATGAATAAAGGTCAGTATTTGACATCCATATGACGTTCGTTTATGTTGGCAACATTGGATTTTGTCCCTTTTTAACACAACCTAATATCAACCAAATATCAACGTCATTTGACGTCGTTATTGGATATCAAAACGTTGTCCTTAGACGCTGGCTAGACATTGAATTAGGTCTTATGACATTGTGTGCCAGCTAGGCAACAACTAAATGCACTACAATGTTACATTTACACACATCCTCAAATTACATGTAAATGCATCAGCTTTTTACAGTGTAATACTCACTACTCGAGTACTTTAGAAAGATTTTTTGTACACATACTTTGAGTAATATTTACAACAGATACTTTTACTCTACTTGCACTGCATTATTAGGGAAGTAATGGTACTTTTACTTGAGTATGATTTTTCACTACTCCTTCCACCACTGTTGACTTTTACTACTATGAATTTGAATGGCTCCCAGTTTTCTTATGAAATGCAGTAGTCAACATTTCAACAACACTGATAAAAAATGATGTCTGCAAAATTGTTGCAAATAAGTTATGTTTGGAATTTAAACAAACAAATTAAATTTAGCAATGTTCAACTGTTTGTTTGTTTGTTGGCTTAAATTCAGCCCAAATAAATTGTTTACAACTACTTAAATCATTTAGTAAATCCAAGGAATCACCTTTAAATCATTTTCCCAGTGAAGTGGATCAAAATATTTTTAAAACTGTACTACACCTAAAAAGTTATGTTTGCTGTTAGTTCAAACTACTTATTTAAATTGAGCTGAAACAACATAATTATTGAGTTTTTTTGAGGGACAAATCTATTGTTTTATGTTCAATCCACTTAAAGTTGTAAAAACTAATAAGTTAACTTATGTTGTCCCAACACAAATCAATTGTGTGGAACTCGGCATTTTTAGTGTAAGGTGGGTGTTGTTCAATAGTTTTAGGACTTTAAAGTAAAGTTTTGGCCAACTTCAAATGTTGACTGGGATACAAACACACGCATAAATAACCAAATAAACTCACAAACGTTCATAAAACTCATGAACATGAATACCGTCTATCATTTTGGGGGTGAATATCTTTGAGTGACCTCCAAAAATAGACATGTCATACAACCCAATGTTTTAAATACAGAATGTATAAATTTAATAACGATTCAGTATCCAAAAGTTGCACGTTGAGGTAAAAATCGCATTCGCGTCAAGATATAGATTAAAGATCTTATTAAAGATAGACACCTTTCAAAACGTTGTTCGCTAAGGGGGGCATCAAACATTTTTGTAGAACCTCAATCGACTGCACTCACAATTAGACAAGCACTGACATAAAATGTGACCTCTATTAAAGTAGCTGGCATTTAAATTTCTTACCTGAAGTTCACACCATGCAACCTCCACGGTGGTCTCCGTATCCAAACCTTTGTAGACGGTCTTAAAAGACCCTCTTCCAATTTCAATGTTGAATTTCAGAAACCTTCCGTCAGGTGAAGTCGCCACAGCTTTAGTCTCGACCTCATCCTTTTCCTCCTGCTCGCGTTTGCTCTCAAAAGGGGCTCTCGACAAAACCACTTTCTTCTGGGTGCTTTCATCGTCCGAGTCCGAACTGGCATCAGCCTCCTGCGCGCTGGGCTCCTCGGCGGCCCAGGTGTCCAGCGGTCGCGGGTCCGAGTTCTGCGTCTCAGGGGGTGAACTGGAGACAGGTGACATCGGAGGGGAAGAGTCCGTCTTTTTCTCCTCGTTGGCGTTTTCGGATAAAATGTTGTCGGCCGACCAAGAAAGTGTTTTTGTAAGAGGAGCGACGCTTTCCTGGGGCTCCATGGTGTGGAGTTTGTTGAACCTGTAGGCATTCCTCCTGGAGTTTGCCGAGTGTCTCCTCCGTCTCGGTGGCAGGCGCGCTGGGAAGAACGAGTCCGCGTCAAACCCTGCAGGCAACTTCGGGAAGCCAAGACCAGCCATGTCAACCTCAGCCTGAGACATTGGAGCAGGTATCGGTGCAGTTAACATTAGAAATGCAGCGCGTAATCTAGCGCGTTAGATGTCCAGTATTTCTGCATATCAATTTAGCCTAACACAATCCTCCAGACCATAACAGCAGAACTTCTCCAGGAGCGCAATGCTGATTGTAGGCTATTTTCTAATAATGTCCACGCGATTATGAAATAATGCGAACGCAAGTTAAAGTACTGTAGAAATGTTAATCGATCAAATATTTGTTGAACATTGATTCGGTTATTTGAATTATCCGTATATCTTGCCTTGACGTTCGAGCGTCTCCACGGAGCGCATGCTGTGTCTTTGCTTTCCAAACGCAAGTGCCTGTCTATACGCTCTGCTCTGCTTTGCTCCTCCCTCTGGAAAAACACCTAAGCAATTAATCTGTCAGGGACCACTAACAGTCAAACTGCACTGCCTTTAATGCAGTCTCTTGGCTCTCTGACGGAATATACAGTTGTCTCTGTTATGGCAAGCTGTTGAAACGTTTATTTTGTGAAAAGTGTTACTTTTAAAATGTTTGCTTTCATAAATAGTAATTATTCCAATTTAAGTTTCTTCATTTTCTCTAGGTTCATTAAATACGTACAAGTAGATACTTTGTTCAATTACAAGGATTTAGGTCAAGGTCAAGGTAAAATTTATTGTCTCCCGTAGGTGAAATTTGTTTCAGAAAAATAGGTTCTGCTGTACATAGACACCAACAAGACAACATGTAACATACATACATATTAAAATCTAATCCTAAAATACCTCCTAATATAAATACGATTCCATAAAATCAGTAATTTTAATTTTTTTGTTTTTATAAAAATAAAATACCATGTGCCCCACTGCCCTCTGTTGTGCCAACCAATCCCGTTATCTTAATCTTTGACTGTCCTTCCCCACCTGCTCGTTGATCAACTTAATTGAAAAAGGAACAAAAGAATGTTTATTTTTATTATACTTGCACAAGAGACCCTATATCTTCTGCCAGAATTCATCAGCTCATATTCCAAAGACAGCACATGTGAAGAATCAGATAAAATCTTGTTGACTTGTTGGATTGTGCACAACTCAAAGATGTCTTTTAGTGAACCAAGTGTCTTAATTACCATGATTTTTCCTGTCACTCTCTTCAGGTTATTTACTTGGGTTTTCATTTATTCAATAAAACAATAGGACTAAACAGTAGGCTACTAAAGTTCATGAGCCGCTACATTTTTTTGCAATAAATTTCATTAAGATTTGAAGTTTATGAAATGTAAAAAAAATAAATCTACAGTGGAGAAATGCTTTCTTAAAATCTTCTTTACATTAATGAAAATGAGGCTCTTTAAATGACTTTTACTAGGTTTTTACTTGGGATGGTTCACACAAAATAATTCTCAATATTTAGTCATTATTCACTTGTTCTAAACATTTCTTTTCTTAAATGTCGAAAGAAGAGGGATGTTGGAAAGCAGCAGGCACTGACTTCAATATTTCATACTATAGATGGCACTGGCTGCTTGTTTCCAGCATTTTTCAGTTTCCTGTTTTGTGTTCAAGAGAAGACATTCATAAAAGTTTCAAACTACTAGAGCTTAAGTAAATGGTAAAGAAATGTACATTTTTGTGTGAACCATTAAAAAAAAAAAACTTTTAAAAAACTGCTGCAGAAATTCACTCAGAAATTTTAAGCTTAATTTTCAACAGTGCTCACTCGGGCTGAATGTTTGATTTTGATTTTGAATGCATGATTGTTGTTTTACTTTTTCTTTTTTTAATTGTCGTTGAAGATTGGGACATTTTAAAAAAGATTGGATGAAGACTGGATCTCACTGTGACCACTTATAAATTATGATGAAATTATAGCTACTACAGTAGTAGTTTACAGACAAAATGGTGGGTAGCTAAGCTATGGTCAATGTATTTCACGTATTCACATTTAGCTTTTCTATTTCTGTTGGCAAAAGATACAAATCAATTATGGGACTGAAATTTTTAAAAGCCTCACACAGATGAGTCGATTTCCTTTCATGTGTTGGATTCCAATGTTTGAAATCAACTCTTACTTCCTAATGCCTCTGAATCGAGAAATTGACTCTGTTTGGAATGGGCTATATGCACACAGACATTTCATTTTCAGCCAGGCAGCCCAAGGGCTTCCGGTAAATTGTTTTTCCATTACAAAATTGTCAAGTTTCTTTAAAAATCAGCAATCTTCACTGCCTTTTAGACATACAATATGAAGTGGGTCTTAGCTTAATTTAAAAAATCAAAAAAATATTAGTCAATAAATGAACTTTTAATTAAGTAAACAAATAATATTAAATTAAATATTCTAGCCACTATTAAATCAATGAATGTTGAAACTGCTTGCCACATGTCCATTGCACAAGTTAGCTTGGGTTTGTCATGATCATTACAGAATTGATAAGTTCAACTAGGTTCAGGGAACCCTGCGATTTTGAAAACTTCAAGAAACCGCTTTATAATGAACATGCAAAAGACCAATTTCAAATCCAGCTCATTTAAAAGTGAATGCACTTAACAGAGCCCACACATGGCTCCCATTACCTTTTTGATTTTTAAGAGTGAGCAGACTTTTCTTCAATTTTTTTACACTTCACAGATCAAAGTACTTCAGTGCCGTTCCCATGAGATTGAATAATCAGAATACCTCATGACATTCAAATCATAGCCTAAGCTCAAAAATGACATTTTTAGAGTGTGCAGATTTTCCTTCAATTATTTTACACTTAACAGATGAAATTATTTCAGTGCAGTTCTCATGAGATTGCATAATTAAAATACCTCATGACATTCAAGACATTGCCTAAGCTCAAAAATGTTTCATACATTTTTTTGGCACTGATAATTGTGCGTTCCTGCTGTATTACATTAGTTTTATGAGCACATATCCAGGATTCCACTGCTTATCCGAATATTGGAGAGGTCATCTCTCCCTCAATGTGATCATGACCCTATGATCATGTTACAGTAAGTGGACTATACATAACAGACTCTAATAATAGGCCATCAGCTGATGAGTCATTTCAGAGTTGCATAAACATAGACATCAGGTTTAATAAAAACCCAACATGTTGATGTTGCTCCGTCGCGTGCCACTTGTTGATACACATCGATATCACTAAGGCATTTACATATTTAGTGAAGGAAACTGACAAATATATTTAATGGGTCAGTGTGACTTAATTTTATCCTATTCACATACAGCATGTATATATCACATGGCGGTACAAATAAATGGCTTGGTTATTATTTGCAGCAACTACATTCTTAAGAACAAAGATGGCAGTAGTGAATCTTCCTTCACTCAAGCAGAAGTACAGACTGGTGTTTAAAACGACTAGTAGAAATTGAAGTACTGATTATACTTTTGTACTCAAGTAAAAGTAAAGTAGTATGGCCTTAAAAATGTATTTAAGTAAAAAAAAAATAAATAAATAAATAAATAAATAAATAAATAAATAAATAAATAAAAAGTTTCACTAGGTAGATAAATATCCAGTCTCCCTCACAGTCCGAAGACATGTGGTATGGGTAAAAAGGTAAACAAAATTGTCCGTAGTGAATGCGTGTGTGAATGAGAGAGTGTATTGGGTGTTTCCCAGTACTGGGTTTTGGCTGGAAGGGCATCCAATGTGTAAAACAGTTGTTGGAATAATTGGCGGTTGATTTCGCATTGGCAACCCCAGGGACTTTTTTAAAAAAAGCACTTTTTTCATGGTATTAGATTAAAAGACCAGAGAAATCCCATTCAGTATTATCGGATATGGACAAAAGGCTCTAACCTTGAGCATTTACATGACATATTTTTTAACTGGAATGAGTCTATTTGTTTATTTGTGATCTAATCGAACAAAATGTGTCATCTTATAGTGTAAACAGGGCAGCATCAGTCTTGTTAAAATCACTGACTCCCTCGTCTGCTTAATCATCATTCCCTTTCTCATAGTAATCTAAAACTAGTCATAAACTAGCTTACATAATGTGCAAGACAGCCTCAATCGTATCTGAATGTAGCCTTTTTGATGCAAGCTGAGATTGCATTGCTCAGAGATGCAATGTCAGATACAATGCGCTCAATGGAGCTAGTGACATCACTGTGAGGGCTAGGGTTAGGTGAGTGCATTAAAAAGCATTAGATGCAGCTCAGATTGTATCTGCATAGAGTCTGCAGCTAGACCCCTCTCGATAGCCTTGGTTAAAAAAAAAAAAAAAAAAAAAGCGTAGTCATTTTTCGAGTGAAGGTTTTTATAGTGATTTCATGAAACATTAAATAAAAAATAAATATTTATTTCCAAAGAGTACATTTTAACAACATTTTATTTTCTAAGAGTATAATTTAACAATCAATCATGTTTTGTCTGTTATAAAGAAGCTTTTGGGCAATGTACGAGTTCATATGCTCTAAAAAGAGATTAGTTAACTTCAAAAATACTTAAAAAAAAAAAAAAAAGGAGAGTAAACATGTTCCCTTAAAATTACTACATAAACTATAATCACAAACTGTGAAAAAAGCTGGTTTCTGCACAATCAAGTTGTGTTTGGACAAAATGAGGGAATGAAGTTAACTGGTTAGTTTTTTACAAATTTATTTAGATTGAAAATAAAACAATTAAGTTGTCACTTAAATAAAAAAAAATCTCAAGAACTGCTTAGTTTCAGCTCAATTTAAAGCAGTTTAAACAAACAGTAAATGCCATTTTCTGAGGTTTTTTTATAGTAATTTCATAGAACCAATAAATAAAAAAAGAGAAATATTTATTTTCTAAGACTTAATTTAAATGTTTTTTATGTTATGAAGAAGCTTTTGTGCAATGGAAAAGTTTTTGTGCACTAAAAAGCGATTAGTTGACTTCTAATCATTCATTTATTTTTTTTATTTTGGCTTAGTCCCTTTATTAATCTGGCGTCGCCACAGCGGAATGAACCGCCAACTTATTCAGCATACTGTATGTTTTACAAAGCGGATGCCCTTACAGCTGCAACCCATCACTGGGAAACAACCATACACACTCATTCACACACATGCACTACGGACATTTTAGCTTACACAATTCAACTGTTGACTTCTAATCAACTAATCTAAAGTAACTTAAAATGCTGCTTTTAAACCGATTAGTTGTCTTGACTTCAAAAAAGAGAGTATACCAAAATTATTAAGTAAATTAACTACATGCACTGTAATACATGCTGAATTCCACAAAATTGATTTGTGTTGGGAGAAAATTAAGAAATTAAGTTAACTTAATAGTTTTTTTTTTTTTACAAATCAAAGTAGATTAAACATAAAACAATTAGTCCAAATAAATCTCAAGAATTGCGTATTTCCAACTTAAATTAAAGTAGTTTGAACATACAGCAAATCTCATCTTATGAATGAAGTTTATTTTGAGATTTC